TTCTTGTTTTTAAAGTTTTCTATTATTTAAGATAATTTAATAGGATCTTGATCTCATTAACATTAAGAATATTGTAAAATAAAAATTTGATAACATTTCTCTTGATTATAGCTTTATTTATATCATCATTAAGATGAAAAAGATTTGTATTTATCATATTGATATTATGTTATTTATTGTTATAAAGTGTGAAATTAAATTTGTGAAAAAAAAGAAAAAATTTATATTAATTATTAAAGTGTTTTAGTTATCAGTAGAAATATTTTTTAGTTGTGATAAAGGATGTTATAATTAACAAATAAGAAATCCATCATTGCTGATAAAGAAAGTATTTGTAAATTTAATTTGATAAGGTAAGCTTTGATTAAGTCTAATTTTTATAATTTTGTTAAAATTAAATTGAGAGAAGTATTAGTATTATTAGTATTAACTATACATATATTATCAACATTTTTTCTTTTATTGTAAAAGAAAGAGGAAGAAGGAGGTAAAAACACTAGAGAATCCATTATTAAGTCTATATTCTTAATATTGATGAAGGATCATCTATTTTTTGTTATTAATTAGATAATTAATGAAACATATTAGGATTTAGTTTCGAAGTTTTTTCATTTGATGTATATTTTCTATTCAATTGTTTAGTTTACCATTTAATTTATATGTATTATAAAAGATTTATTTAGAGTAAACCTCTTTTATATCTTTTTTTGTTACAAAGTTAGCATATACAATATTATTATGAAAATAATACGATCTTGAATTGAATGATTTAAGAGTACAAAAAGCTTTTACTATTGATATTTTATTTTAGAATTCTTTAAAGTTAATTACAAATCTATTTCATTTTTTTAGTTCTTTAATAGATATATCAATATGAACGTATCTAATTATTTTACCATTAATGTTATAGATCTATATCAAGTTTAATTAGATTTTTTCAAAAAAAATGATAATATTACATAATGAATTATATTTGTTTTTATATTTATTGATAATGGATTTGATATTTTCAAAATAAGTAAAAGCTTTTTTAATATATTAATATGTTATATTATTTAGGATAGATTTTAATTTTAGATTATTCTAATTTTAAAAATTAGAAACTATTTTCTTAATCATGTTGAATAAAAGATTTAGGTAAATTATTAAAGCATTATTAATAGCATTGAGTAAGAATTTCCTATTGTTAAATTTGATGAAAATATTAGCATTATCATTATGAAATCTTCAATCAATATTAACGAAATCTGATTTCTGAGAGAAAAGTATAGATAAAAATCTAATTTTTTAATTCTAGTATCACCTGATATTATGAAGGTTAGGACTGATGTAAAAATACTTTCTTTCTTATTAGATTGTGTTAAGTGAAAGGAATTTTTTAGGTATATTTGAAATCATCCTTATATAATGTATTGCGTAAATTACTATTTTTAGAATTATAAATAGATATATCTATATTCAGTATTTGTTATTTATTATTTATTGACATATTTATATTATCAATATTTTTTGTATTACTAAAGCACAGAGATAATATTTTATTATGATGATATAAAGCAAATTTTGTGTATGATGTAAATCAATTTTGTGTTATGTTGTGATTTAATTTTTTATTTTTTTGTGTAATTTTGTGGCATTTTTTATAATATTTTATGATATTATGTGAAAATTTTATTATAATTACTAAAAAAAAAAAAATTTAATCATCTCAATTAAAATACATCATATTTAGTTGTTTAAGTAATTCTTTTGATAAGTTTTGATGACCATTATTTAAGAGAGTATTGTATAAAGAAAAACTACACTCAATAGCATAACTTAATATAGGTAATCAAATATAATTCAATGCTATTTGAAAAAGAATTGGTAAACGTGTTGCTAAATTATTTCAATAAACATCCAATTTATTTTCTTCTATATTTTTATTGAATTTCAATTTATAATAAATGTAATAAATTATTAGAAGGGTTATTAAGTTCTTTAATAATTGAATATTAATAAATGCTATGTCATTGAATATAATTTCTTAGATGCATGTATTTAGAATCAAAAATATGAACTGCATAAAATAAAGGATGAGTTAGATGATTTGGAATATGTAATTCAAATTTTTTGAATACTACCTAAAATGCTACTTGAAAAATAAAATAGACTGTTAATGAATTAAAGTAAAGACTTATTATAAGATTCTCAAGTTTCATACTAAAATAAGTAATATTTTGATTAAATTTAAGATAAGCTATAAGATTTATTAATCTTATTTTAACAAATGAAAAAACTGGTTTTTTTTATTGTTAAAAAAAATCCAAATTTTGAATAAAAGCTTTAGCATAAGTTGAAATAAAATTTATATAGATTATAATAGTTTCTAATTGTTGTATATTTTGTAAAGTTGAATAGATAGTACTAATTATTTCATTTTTCAGATTAACTTCATATTTAATTTTATAAAAATCTTGCTAATATGAAATATGTTCTTTAGTGTAAAAAACTATTTTAAATTAACTATTTCATTGCGTTTTATTTGGTAATGGAATTTTATATCATGTCAAGTTTCATTAATAATTAATAAATAATAATAATTAAAAAATTTTAATTTAAATAATTTATCCAATTAGATTTAATATATATACAAGGCATGATAGATATATTAATTGTGTCATAATTAGTTTTAAAACATCTCAGTAATACTTTTTTATATATGTAGCAGAATTAGAGAGAAACAAAAATGGAAGGTTCAAAAGAATATTATAAAAAAGTAATATAGAAAGGAATATTTGTGTAATTGTTGAATTATTAACTTATTCTAAAAATCAACAGATACTAATTTAGTATCTGAATGATATGTAAAAAGAGTATTAATTACACTTCATATATAATCATCATTGCTTTCATCTATAATAATACAAACAGGTTTAGCATTAAAAACTCTGGGTAAATATAATTAATGTAAAGTTAGTGCTTGAGAAATTGCTCCTTCTTCTTTAAGGTATTTTTAAAAAAAATAAGTAAGAGATACATTTTTTCTAATGAAATATTAGCATTAGCAAATGCTTCTATTAAATCTTTTATTACTTTTTTTTTTGATTCTAAGGTAAATAAGGATGATTATAATATTTATTAACTTTTAGCTTTTTTTTTTGTTTCAAAATTTTTTTTTTATAAAATATGTTTTTTACTTATATAATGTGCATCTATTGGTGATTTATGCTTCTATTTTACTGAAAGGTCATAATAATTACAAAAAAGTAAACCATTATCAATGTGAAATACTCCTTTATATTTAGCAACTTGTATATAAACTATTATAGAACTAACTTTTTGTTTAGACATCATTTAATGAAATTCATTTATGATTATGATTTTTTAATAGATTTATATGTTAAAAGATTATCTATATTGCGGATTATTTGTTTTATTGTGCATATTTGTGTATACAAATAATATAAATCAAATTTTTGTAAAATTATATGATGATGATAAGAAATTTTGTGATTATCACAAAATTTTATGACAGTTGTGATATTTTGCAAAATGTCATAAATCATTATCCCTGCTAATGTATAAGATAGTTTGTTTATAGAATTATTAATATTTATAATATATTATTTAATATATTTTTGAAAAGAATCATCATATTATTTTAGTTATTTGTTTTTCTTTCTATTTTATATATTTTTGATTATTAGATACGTTGTTTTGTTTGTTTTTATTTAGTGATAACGAAAGTTATGAATTTTTAGAAAAAAAAAGTAAGAGAGTAAAAGTATTATATCTAGTATTATCATATCTAATATACAGTCAACTTTTGTTATAACGAACTCTATGTCCTAGACCTCAACTTCGCTATAAGGCTATAGTGAAGATTTTAAGAGATTTGATTGGCCAATTCGCTATAACAAGAGTATTTTTATTATATTTGTTCAAAAAATTCATTATATCAAGAGTTCGCTATATCAAGAGTTGACTGTATCCATTATTTGCTATAAATTTTCATCATTTGTTATCAAAATAATATTGTTATTTCATGTGTAAAAAGGTTGACTTCTAATGAGTTAAAAATAATTTTTTATGTGATATTAGATTTATAGTTGTCAGTTCTTATTTTATAAATGTTGTAAGTATAATTTATATAAGGTTTTCAATAAAACTATTGTTTAAAAATTTTTCTTGAACAGTTCTTTTCAAAGCAAAGGCTTTGATATATTCTTCATTTAATTTTCTAACAAGCCAAAAAAACTTCTGGAATTTTATATGAGAGGAATGCTACAATAGCAAAGTCTATTTTTTCTAGCTTAGGAGTAATATAGGCTTTTAGTTTTTGAAATTTAGGACGTCTTGTAAGAAAGGACTTAAAAATATTGAGAATCATATTGTAAAAATATAATAAAGTAAAATAAAAATTTGTTTTTGAAAAATTATGTTTTTGAAATTTTTGGGTTTTTCGTGTATTCTGTGCGTCAGGTGATGGAATACTAAATATAGAAATGATCGAAGATGATCGTTCGTAATGCTGGCTAGACATTAAAAAAATGGACTGGTAATTTAGGCCAGTCGATTCTCTGACATCTGACGCATAACATATACATTTTTGAATTTGAAACTAATAATATAGCGTTCAGATTATGATCTTTTTGTTTAAATATTGTCAATTAAAAAAAAAGGGTTTCCAAAAAATCACATTTTTAAAAACAATATAGCAAATGATGTTTATTATAAGAATGCAAATGCTAGATTTATTTTACTTAAGCGTAATTAATTTACAATGAAAAGAAAAATTTTAGCAGTAAAGATTATTGTATTCATTCGATTTTTTTCAAAGCATTCCTTACTGCTTTATTGGATCAATAATTTAATATTCCAATCTTAATGATATCATATCTTAAGAGGCTTCTTGTAAGATATAAACCTGAATAAATCAAAAATTTATTTAAAATAATCAAAAAAAAAAATTTCTTATATTTAATTTTACCGATAAAACTTACCTGTAAAAATACCAATCATTTATTGTCAAGATCATCGTCAACATCATGTACATACATTCCAAATTCAACACTACTTTCCATAACCTTTCTTGCATCTTCTAAAGGAATACCACCACGATCCCTAGAAATTAACCGAATTGCAGTTTCGGGTACAAGTACCTGATTGAGGTATTCCAAAGGTTCTTGCGGTTTTGTCATATCCATTGTAAGAATATTTGTATCCATAAAAAGAGAGACGAGAGAAGAAAATATTATAGAGGCGCCTTTAGATCCATAATATCCAGGCTGAAACGTATATCATATAATTTATAAAAACATTAAATTAAGAGTAATTATACATTATAATGATTAAAACCTTACTTGAAATTTTTGAAATCTTCCCATCAAAATAGTTGGCTTCCTTGCTCGAGCCCTACCAAACTCCTGATACGCACATAATGCAACATCCCTATACAAGCTCTTCCTTTTTCCCTTTATAATCAACATCAATTCTGGAACCAAGTTCTTAACCCGTTTTGGAAGTCTCTCAAAATCAATTTTAATTGGATAATTTTTCTTAAGACCTTCTGGAACAATGTGGGATTCTGCATCATGTAGACGACAAAATTCAAACTGGTCTATTATATTTAAGGAGCGTTGAAGGAACGATGATGGCGATATATTCTGTGTTTGGTCAGATAACTTATCTCGAGCTGAAGGATTTATTTTAATCAAATAAGCTCGGATACGCTCCGGAAGTGGAAGAGGAATAGCCTCGTTACAAAACGGACAACGTTTATGTTCTGCAGAACCTATAATGACATAATTTTATTTATGATTTGTAACCTTAAAGAACTCATCGTCACAGTAAAAGTGCACCTTCACCTTTTCTCCTTGAAGTACTACTTTGTATCGAAGTTTCATCATCAGATAATAAATCTATTTCCGGTAAATTAGCATATTTATTCCTCGTAGGTGAGGGTGCACGGAATTCATCATTTTGGTTATTAAGTGTTTCGGGTTCGTCATCGATAATAATAACATCCCTCTTAATATTAGATGAAATGTCCGTAAAATAATCATCATCAGGGTCCGACATGTTCAAATTTTCGAATTTATTGGTTAATTCCTTTAATATATATTTCTTTTGTAATTTATTAGTTGGAAATGTAATTTTTCTTGGTGGCGTATGTGTATAATTAGAAACTTTTTGGAAAGGAGAATGTTCTTTTGACGAGCCACCATGTAAACCGTTTGTACTTTTTTTAAAAGTACCGGTATGTTCAATTTCGTTTTCTTTTGGGGACCTTTTATTTTTTACAAGAGGTTCTTTACCTCCAAGTTTCGTATTCCTTTTTTGCATTTTTATTAGTGAAAAAAAAAAGTATAAAAAAAGTCAAGTATATTACATAAAATAAGCTCAATAAAAATTGGCATTTATTTTCGTTTTCCGCTAATTAATTATCTTTAAAAAGAAAGTTTGTTGATTTTTTTTTATGAGCACGTGACTAGACTTAGATTTAAATACGCACGTCTGATCTCATTCAAATCATATCACCAATTTTTTTAGTCAAAATGCCTTCTCTTTATCCCCGTGCAACGCTCAAGAGAATCATAAAAACTCACCAATCTAAAGCTTTAAGTAAGAATGTTGATGTCTTGGTACGAGATTTTTCATGTCTATTGCAAATATTTTTCGTGTTTGTCAATTTGTTCCAATAATTTGACGCGTTATTTTATTTAGATTTACCTTAATTGCATGATATTCCTTCAAAAATTAGCTCAAGAGGCTAACTCTGAGGCTGAAGCCAGTAAAGAAAATATGATTGAAAAGAGACATATTAAAGCTGCTTTGGAGGCAAGTCACATTTGTAAAATTGCATAACAATTTTCAAAATAAAAGCTTTTAAGAACGAAAATATAAATTCATTTTACGTTTACGTTCATTTTATTTTTCTTTCCCCAAATAATCTAAATTAACAGAGAGTTTTACAAGAATTCCAGGGATAAATTCCTAATGTACATCTTTTAATAGATCGTTAATATTTCTTTCTAAATATTTTTTAGTGTTATCCAAGGTGACCAGATCACTTGAATTTTTCGCAATTTTATCATCTTGTTCTTTATCTAAAACTGATTTGTCAGTTTTAATAAACCTTTATAAAGATTTGATTTAGAACATTTTTGTTTGGTTTTTTTTTTTTTTGAAAGATTAAATAATAAAACGTATATTATACGCACGCCTTTCCAACAGATTTATAAGTTTTAGTATCTTTATCAAGTGCGGATAATTCTTTTTTAGTAAGTTCAGCCAAACGTTTTTCACGTTCTTTTACTGTTATTTGAGCCTTAACGTTTGATAATTGTCGTTTATGTTCAGCAAGTCTATTTTGAAGTTCGTTTAAAACCTATTTTAAACGATAAAATTCAATTGTAAAGAATTTAAAAAACAAATAAAAATAACGAGAAACAAAAATCGAATATTAAAAAACAGAATTATTTACCTTGCGCAGGGTTTCGTCAGGAAGCGACATTTTGGTATTTTCAAAAAAAAAAAAAAAAATTCGACTCTTATAATAACGTTAATTAAATTTCAGCCCGAATTACCTTAATGTTGGCAGGAATTGGAAGGTTGCACGTACCTTATTATTTGGGGTTGTGACCAATCTTAATTTCAGAAGTCACCGTATCAGTACGTGACCCGTCACATAACCATCAATTTCGCAAAATGTCCTCCAACAATAATCAATCAAGCTCCAGGAATGATCAATCAGAATTTCAGGTGCAATATGATATTATACATAAAAAAAATATGATTATCGTCCATTAATTAAAGAAACGCGTGCAATTTCTTCAATTCGTTATCGTAAAAAAAAAATGATAATTAATTAATCACGTAAATTTTAATTCCACTCATTATTATCACAAAAGGAATTACGTACCCTTCGTACACTTCGTGCTAGTTTAACAAGCGTAGATATATTCACAAAGCAAGTCTTACAAGATTTAGAAATAATGACCAGGAATTATGAAGCTATATCAGGTATACATACTACACTCGTCTAATTTTCTTACTTTATTATGTTAAATTGACTCATCATGTGTTCTATAATTTGTTTGTAAAATACAAATGTTTTTACAGCGATTTGTGAAGGATGGAAGGTTGAACTAGAAAAAGTACCCCTTGATTCGGATAAAATTAAATGCGATGATGATGAATTTACTAATTAAATGTTTACTATTTTTTTTTTTTTTCCTTCATTACATGGGATATGCTATGTATCAAATTCATCATTTTACATTACGGCATTTGCATTAATATTTACAAATTTTTTTTTTTTGTTCAAAGTATTCTATTCTAATTAATGAAATAAATTACCTGCACTTTATTGCATCTTTCAACCCTCGAAATTATATCCTTGTTGTAATAAATGACAATCTTCAGAATTCTTGGGATAAAAAAGTTCAACATATAACAAAGGTTTCTTTGGGAGTTCATTCAACAACTTGTTGCTAATATTTAAAATGAATGACATTAGTTCATGTTGAGCCAACGTCAACCCTCGACGATATCCAAGATCATCCAAGATGTGATTAAAAAGGTACATAATCGTTATCTTATAGAACATCCCTTCAAGATCATATTTATACCAGATACGATAGAAGAATTCTACTATACATTTGAGTTCTTCATCATCTAATTTTCGATATCCCTCCAATACCTTACAATAATTATTTATGATCTCATCAGAGACGAACTTTTTTTGAAGCCCATTATTAAACATTTGTATCACTCCTTCATAATGATCCAACGCCTCTAAATATGAATGAACAACGGAAATCAATGCCTCTTGTTCCTTGAAAGCAAGGTTTTCTATATCCTTAAGAAGATCAAGAATACGGTTCGCATAATTTTCGTTGTCATAAATGTATTTTAATATAGACAAAACAGTTTCACGATTTGACTCATTCAGTGTAACTTGTTTTATTGTCGACAACATGTTCTTTAAGCATTTGAACGCGTATTGTAAAATTTGACCCGAACTCTAAAAAAAAAAAAAAAAAAGAATTTAATTTTGTTTTTTGAAAAAGGAAATAAAAAAGGATTGATTTTAATTTATATAAACCTCATTATCTTCGCGTTTTACTAACAAAGAAAACATCCATTCGAACGTTTCGATGGTTACGGCGGGTCGCACATGAGAAATATCAGATATCTCATTTACACTTGATAATAAGACTTCATCTTTTAAGGATGATGAGCTCTCTGAAACCAACCGTATCCTAAATTTTAAAGTATAATCAACTAAATATAAATAATGACTAATGTGTTTATTTATATCATGCTTGTCAATTTTAGCATTCATTTCTTTCTGAATCGTGCTGATGAGAACTATAACAAAACGATAAATAATAAAAGACATTTAATGTATATGTTATTGGTTGTTATCGGTTATTATCATTCGCGTTAGATAAATACCTTCAAACGCGCTGCTTTTAATAATCTTTAGTGAAGTTAATTTAATGCATTTCCGAATTGGATCATCAAGTGCGATGCGTTTTTTCTTATTAACAGGTTCGGCCTTATAATTACAATCAAAAGTTAGATAATAAAAAAAATATTATTATATAGATTAAGGAATATTAGATGTTACCAAAATCCTTTGCTCATTATCAACCTTTTCCCTCAAACCAAATTTTGGAATACCTTCCCAAGCTTGTCGAATATCTACAGGTTTCTCATAACCTTTTTTAGTGTCCATCCAGATCTTTGGACAAACTTTAGAAAATTTTTTACGTATTTCTTCCTGTCTATTCTTCACTTGTTCCATTAGTTTAACCCCTTTAGATGATGCTTCCTATAAGTCATGTAATTAATATTAAAAAAAAAAAAAAATCGAAACTATTGACGGTGATCTAAACATAAGCATTTAATATACCATTTTAGAATCTATAAATAGATCCTCGGGACCATTATGCTCAAGAATATGGTAGAAAATCTCAAAGACAAGCGTATGCCAAAGAACGTCATCTTTATCACTTGCCATAGTTGTAAAGAGTTCAATCAGGTTCTCATTGTAAAATTGAACGATCAAATCAAAATGAGTCTTTAATTTTTCATTAACAGTAAGATTTCCAGAACCAGGAGAATCTTTTATCGCTAGGAGATTACGACACGTTAGAAGCAGCAAATGAATAAACTTCTTATCCTCGTTACCCCTATTAACCAAATTCAAATGCCATTGTAACATAATACGAATGTTACGAATCACTGAAGGATTTAATACGAATAATTCCTTGTAAGCAGAATTTATCTTCATAAAAGGCAAATCCTTATGATTCTTATCCGATGAGTAATTTTTGGTCATTCGAGTCAACAACTCAACTTTAAAAAAGAAAGAGAATTTTAAATTCATAATACAATTTCAATTAAACCAAAGATTGAAATTATCCTTTTATTTTACCGCATAATCGTAAAATTTCCCTTTGTGAACAATCTTCAAGACGACTGTTTAAAAGTACTAGAGGGAACAGTCGTGACTCTATAAACTCTAGCTTATAAAGGGTTATGAGACTCTCCCTTTCTTTATATATCATCTTATTAATTTCTTGAAGTGACGAAATAACATTTGAACCCGGAATAAAAAAAATATAAGAACTATTGTCGCGCGTAGAGACCTCATCCATTTCTCCTAATGCACTGGCATGTCTGCTTATAGTTGAATTCAAGACTTCATTCTCATTTTTGACGCGTTGAAACCGGGAAAGTTTCTCTCTTTTATCTATCTTTTTATTACTACTAATGGAACTACTGGAAGCTGTTCTTTTCATTTCTCTTTTGTAGGTTGTAAAGAATGGGATATCGAATCGTATGTATTTGACAAATTTAAACATCAAGTGAAACGCGTCTATCACGTGTTCCGCAGTAAATTCGGTTACCATGAAAAAGAAATGTAATTCAAATAAAAATTTTGTTTTTTCAAAAGGATTAATTTATTGAAATATTAAAAGTAAACTCGTGTAGAAATCGCGCTTATTTTATGATTTCTGAAATGAAAGCATCTCATTTTATAAATTAAAGAAATCTTTGACAAACTTATTTAACTGATTTTACAACATTTGATTCAAAAGTTGCTAATTGAACTGCTGCAGTCCGAATTTTGGGATCATAATGTTTCTATAATAAAGTAAACGCGTCAATAAACTTTTTTTATTATGTAAAAAAAATTCAAACATTATATTATTTGTTACCTGTAATAAATTCAATTCCCATAAACTTGTTGCAAAAGGATTACATAATTCGGGGTCATTTAAGTCAGGTCGATAAATTCCATTAACAGCTCTATCATCTGATGATAATAGTGCATCTAATCGTGATTGTCTCTATTAAAGTAAAAAAGTCAATTGAAATTCTCCCTTTAAGAAAAGAATGCCACAAATATGTAAATATAAATATATATATATTTTTCACCTGAATCATTTTTTTCATCGTGGTTAAACATTTCAGAACTGTTTTACTTGGCCAATTCATACAAGCAATTGATAATCGTTTCAAAAATGCGGCCGATCTATCAGTTGGAATCTATTTGTTAATCATAAAAGTAAATTAGTTTTGTTTATTTCCGGATCAATATCGCAAAGTATAACCTTTGAAAATACAAATTACCTGTTTTCGCTTGAAAAGTATAAAATCAATTCCTTTCATTAGCAACTCTTGTTCGGTTGCTATATATGTAGCATTGCTAACTTTACCCTCATCAGCTTTTAATTGTTCAAGTTCACTTTTTTCCATGTATGGATTCATAGCAAGGGGCATTATAATTGTATACATTTGTGTATAAAAATCTTTCAGGTCGATATTGAGAGCTTCCCCTATCACAAATTATTGAGGTTATTGAAATTCCTTTGTGTGACTTTTCATTAAATAAAGTTATTACCTTGACCGGAAAGCAACTGAAATGCAGTTATTATACATAATAAACCTTTTCGTGTATTAATTCGAGATATAGAACTTTTGGTATTACTGTCTTCCGGATCTGAGTCCTCCACCTTGATTTCATCAGCCATAATCCTTTTCAGCAATTCTAACAAATCGTTAAAGAAATCAACGTTGATAAGATGGGCAAACCTTTAAGAAATTTAATATTGATAATTTAACCATTTCTTATCATTTGCCAACGACCAAAAAAAAAAAGAAAAAAAAAAAATGATCCAACATACTTGGACAACCCTTCCAATACAGAAAGAAGTAGTGGTGATTTATTGGCATGTTTTAAAATACGAAAATACGTTATAAACACCAATTTCAACGTTTCTGTATGCTATCAATAAAATTTAAAATAATGCTTATTTCAGTAATTTTTTTTTTTAAAAAAAAATAAATCCTTATAACATTTTCTTTTTTTCGGCACTAACTCTTTTCTCTTTTTCTTCATAATCCACAACGGCCTCGGCTTCCTTCATCTCGTTTTCAATCTCTTTTCTTTCCTTTTCCAACTTTCTCATTTTTCTTGACAAATGTTTTTTAGGCTCTTTTTTCCATTTTCTTTTTTTATTGGAATGAGCTTCATCTTCATGTAATTTTTTTATATTAAGCTCGTCTCTTAATCGAAGGTGTAAAAAAGTATTAAGAACCTCTTCATGAACCACATAACTTTTAGACTTAATCATCATTGTGATTAATTTTACAGCATCTAAGCTTGCTTCACCAGATTCATCATTCTTAAATACTTCAATTATAGCATCACAACACATGGCCGTCATCTATCGCGATAAAAATGTTTTGTAAATAAGAAAGAACGCGTAATACCATAATGTTTAATTAAAACAAAAAAAAAAAACCTTTGTAAATTTGCGAGTACTCATTCTCGTAACAATTGCCGTCATCAAATTCAACCGAAAGTTGAAATGAGTAACAGAAGTTAAAAGGCCACACATGCATTGTAACGCTTCATCTGCAACAGATTTCTCTTCCTCTTTAGTTAAAGGTTCTTTTCGTCTCGACTTCAAGAATAAATGAATTTAGAATTTAAAATTTAAACCCAAAACAATCATAAATTCATAGCGAATAACATTGCAAAAAAAAACTCACACCTCTTAATTCGCTTTCGAGAAACTTCAAATAAGCTTGATAATTACTCAACAAGCCCTGTTCATAATTTCTTATTTTCTTAACTTCTTTGGAAACCTTACATTTTATAAATAATTTACTTGGTAAAAAAGCTGTTATCAAAAAAAAAAAAAAATACAGTTGCGAAAATTTAATCACCTGTGCCGGTCTTTCTCTGTCTGTCAATTGTCGTATCCGATACCCGGGTATTATATCTTTATATACCACAAACTGAGATAATATTGCCAACTTTTTTACAGTTAAATTCTTATCAGTAGCAATTTCACGTAAGTCTTTTAGTTGACCGATCTAGGGAATTAAACATTCATTTTAGTTTACAACTTCAAATCGAAAAAAAAAAGAATTAACAAACGCATTCATTACATTATTCTCCGGATCTTCGACTATACGTTGAGCTATTTCCGCCAATTGTTCCTTCTTTTGATTAATATATTCTTTAAGTGGAATATTTATGCTTAACATAGGTTCTGAGACCTGTGACTTTTTATCATTAGTATCAAGGTCGTTCGGTTCGTCAATGTCGTTAATGGAAGGTTCGTTTTTATCAACGTTCATAGAAAGGGTTCTCACTTCTTCACCTTTTAGGGGATTTGTAACATTAATTAAGTTCCCAAAAGCAAATAATGAAAATTTAATTATGAATGCTTACATATTACGACTTCTTTTTGTTTTATTTTTCCGTCGGGCAGCTTAATTGGAAGCTTTGTTGATTCTTTATGTATCCAAGATTTATTAAGACGTGGAGTCCTTTCATATTCTTGTTCTATATCCGAATCTGAAGAAATATACATTTTCTCTTGATTCAAATCTCCTACTATTATCATTTCATCATCACCTTCCTCATCGGAAGAAGTCAACGACGGTAAAGAATCTTGATCAGTTTTATCATTTTTCACGGCTTTAACAGATGATTTTTTGATATTGATGATTTCGTTCCTAGATCAAAAAGAGAACCTAGAGATTAATATATCAACGACGGATAAATTATTTAGTAAATTTAGATAATTTACTTGTGTAATGCAACTTTATCAATATCTTTTAAAAATTTCGTAAATTGATCGTGTTCTTTGAAAAATTCTACATCTTGTTCGGACAATTCGATTTCATCTTCATTAATATCATTAACAATTGGTAAAATCTTTGAGACCTTCACCTAAAAAAACAAATATTACAAAAAAAAAAAAAAACTATAAGAAGAATATCATACTATGTTATTAGGACTTAAGCATTGAAATCAAAAGAAAAAAAAACCTGTTCTTTCTTGAGATTTTTTGTTTTATTTTTGAAAGGTTTCGTCGAAAGTTTTGGCTCAGTCTTTAGAGATTTGTTTCTTACTTTTCTACTAGTTTTGTTGGTCATAATTAAAAAAGTATTTCGATATATATTTTTTTTTTTTTTTAAAAAAAACAAAAAACTGATCAGATAAATCGGTAGATCTAATCCCAAACTCACTCTATTTAATTTAGGCCAGAAATCTTGAGGCGCTAGTAAATTTTGGATGATGATGAACTAACACAATCGAATGTATAAAATATGAATTAAAAATTAAAAATAAATATAAAAATAAAAAAGCCGAATTGTTGAAGAATCTTCTCAACAATTCTTCTTCCCCAATTGATTAAGCCATAGTGACTTTGAATAGTTACTTGGTGTTAAAAAAAAGCCTTACAGCTGGAAGATTGTTTGTTTCATAGCGAGATGTTCCTCTGTGTAATGAAAGAGATAAAAAGTGGACAAGATTTATAAATTTCTAATAAACTTTTATTATTATTATTATTATTATTATAAAAGCTTTGGATACCAGAAAGTTTTATTGCGGAACAGTTAGCAAAAAAAAAAATTTAATTATGAACCCAATTGATAAAATATATTCAGAACAAGAAAATCTCTTTATTTGGTTAATAAGAGATTAAAATATTTGAAACAAAGGGTAATCATTTTTTCGAAATTAATAAATATTTGTTGTCTTAATAAAGTGATTGCAAGACGTGAACAAAGCATTCGATAGGTATGATTCATTACTCAGAATAATTACGTTTAACATATAAATTCGATGAATTCAAGCAATTTTCCGGTAAAAAAATTTGTTTCTGCTGAATTATTGAATTAATTAAAAAAAAAAGTTGAATTTGGCAAGATGAAAAACGATTACGTTGGTCAAGACGGTAATATTCCTCAACAACAAAATAGTCCTTCACAATCATTTCACCAACAAATTCCTCTTCAAAACATGTATTCGCAGAATGGAAATCCAGCTTTATCTAAAGAATATCAAATATTTCAAGCAAGTCAGCTGAGCATTGATAATTATAATTATTATCCTCCAAGAAATGTTCCTCTTGAAAGTCAATCACCAATTTATAACACATCCTCGGTGATTCCACCACAAGTTGCTCAACAAAATCAACAAATCAATCCAATCAATCCACAAATTAATCCTCAACAAATTAATTTTAATCAACAAATAATTGATCCTAATAGCCTTCGACATATCAATCATCAGCAAGTCAACCCTCAACAAATTAATCTTCAACAAACAAATCAACAAATTGTTTCCGAACAAAATCAATCTATCCATACGGACAATAGCATTAATTCACCAAATTTCGTGATTGTACATGGAACGTTACCACCACCAATAAATACCACGGAAAAAGGTCAAGTTGATCATTCGATCCCATCAATCGATAGGACTTTTACCCAACTTACCAGTCTGGAGCAAATTTGGAATTTGCCTTTAATTCATGATGGTAGACCTACTTGGAAATTTTGGTATATCTTTTTTATATTTATTTGCATTCTCCTTTGGGTTGCAACTATTATTGGTAACTCTTCAACATCATTATTATTATTTTTTGCTTAAAAAAAAAAAAAAGTTATTAATCTCTTTTTTTTTTTATTAGCGAGGATGTAAGGTTATATGTAACTTATTTAATATTTCGTGTTTAAATCTTGTATAATTATTAATGGATAATCAATTTCTAATTGTGTGCTTATGTAACCAACATACAAAACATTATTTTCGCCACATTATTATTTTACTAAATAAATTATATTTCATGTATCTCATGTGATCATTAAACATTCCTTTTGTGTACCTCATAAATGATTGCTTTTTTCTTATTTTTGATTCTTACATTCGAAATTTTTTTTTTTAAATTTTTTTTTTTTTTTTTTTTTTTTTTTTTTTTAGTTTATCATATTAAATATTTATTCTTATTAAAAAAGAAAACATTTATGGATAATAGTAATCAACAATTTAACACTGGTCAATATTATCATCAAGAATCTCCAATTATTAACAATCGAGAATCTTCTACAAACCAGTACATAGTAACTTCACAATTATACGATGCTGAACCAATATACCAACAACAACAGCCTCAACAAGTTATTGAAATACAACAGTTTCGAGACCTACCGTCAATTCCTTCCGAATATGTAGTAACCGCTCCAGTACCTCCTCAAAAATCTCAAATACCTCAAGGAAAGACAACTCCTTTTGTGAATCATGAAATAAAAGCTGAAGAAAGAGGACTTACGGGTATCACTTCTTTAGAACAATTATGGGGAATGACATTTTTTCATAACGGGAATCCTACTTGGAAATTTTGGTTTGCTTTATTTTGGTTCTTATATTTCGCTTTGATTGTTGGTGAGTAATTAATTAATTACCTGAATAATTTTTTTTTTTTCTTTTTTCTTTTACTTACTAACCTAAAAAAAAAAAATAGTTGTGATACTCGTAAGCATCATGCAGGGGATTGGAGATTCGGGATCAAAATTTGGTGGAGATAATCATTGTTTAAATGTTGTTCCCGATTGTAAACCCGAAGAGGTACGAAATCATTTCATGATTTTTAATTGGCTTTTTTTTAAAGTAATTTCTAAAAAAAAAAAAAAAAATTTAAAAATCAAATAAATGTAGTTTCAATGTGCCAATATTAAAAGTGCAGCAAGATGCCCTGAAATTTATTGTTCCAAGGTTAAAACGGATGTAAGTATTATTATTTCATAAAATAATCTTGATAAATAATCTTTAATAATGGTTTTTTTTTATTTTTTTTTTTAAAAAAAAAACAGGATATTTGTTATTCAGTTAATTCATTCAAATAACGAACGAAAATTTCTTTTAATTCCTACATAAACAAATTATCATAAATTAGCGGTTATTATTGATTTTAACTTACTTGTATTCGTATTATAACAAATCATTTTATTTAATTTTTTTTAAAAAATGTAAAAATAATTTTTATAATCATTATTGTAAATGAAGTATTTTTGTTTAGATTAATATTTGTTTTTTCTACAAATTTAAATTATTTCGTGAAAATTTAGCGTACAATAATTCCTTAAGGTTCGGAAAGGACAAATCTCGAGAAGAGGGAAATCGAGAAATGTTTCGTGAATAATCATAAGCGTGTAATAAGTTAGGATTGAAATCACCTTAATTTTATTTATTGATACTATTCTTACATACACCTGTGCCTTCTTTCAATGCCTTTTTTTTTTCTTGGAACATAAACCCTTCATTAATTTTTATTTGTTAAATTTATCTGATAAATAACATTCTAATGGAAGAATCAATTAAATTTTTATCTAAAATATTACAAAAAAAATATCTTATTAATAATTTTGAATTTAAACATTTCACAATATTAAACTTTAAATTCGCCACGTTTCTATATTAAAAAATCAGACGCGTTCTTAGTTTCCTTTTTCTATCTATCCAAATTGTTAATCATCATCAAGCATTGATAGCTTATTAACAACGCATTGACCAGCTCATTGAGAATTGACGTTTTTGATCGCAATTACGAAATCAAAACTTTATCAAACAAAACAAAAAAAAAATATAGAAGGATAACCATAAATAGATTAATTAATTAATTAATTTTTTCTTTATTGAGATTTTAACTTTAAGAAGCTCGAGTTAAAGTTTAGATTCGATCAATGAAAAAAAAAATTATTTATTATATTATTTTTGGCGGGATCCTTGCATACAAATAATTTTTTTTTATTTTGTGGACGATAAAAAAGGATCGGTTTATTTTATTTTATTTTATTTTATTTTTTTTTAATAACGTATAATATAATCGGGAAATAAATTAAACAAATTTCATTAAAACGTGAGCTTACAAATATATCAATTATCACTTCTAAACAAGGTTTTTTCAAATAAATGATGTGATTTTTCTCGGCTTTTTCCCTAACATACACCTTTACAGTATTTTAACTTCTTTCTCGGAAGGATGGAACGGTGAATCACGTGTTACACATATAATATTTGGGGATTTATACTGATCACTTTTTACTGTTGAATGATTTAATTTAATAATACCAAATTCAGGTTTCAATTTCCAATTCAAAAAAAAAAAGATGTACTGTACACGAGAAATTGCGAAATGCTCAAACCAAGAAATACAACCAGTTTTGGTACCGCTTTGATGAAATTCTCTGTGGACGGACTTCCACGTGATATTATCAGGAGGATAACTTGTAATGAACTGGAATTTGACTTACTAGGATTACCAAATTAAACCAAATTCGATCCCGGTTGATCACGAAAAAACGAGTTTTTTTTTTTTTGGTCAAGGACCGAAACACATCATCTTCGAAATCGATTTAATTAAAATTCTTTTATTCAAGAAATCGATTTATTTTTAGCAATTTTTTTTAAAAAAAGGTTCCAATTACATTCTTTTGTTCTTTTTTTTTTTTTTTTTTTTTTTTGAAAAAAGATGTTCTTTGTGAAAAAAAAAAAAAAATCAATTAGATAATTTTTTGATAATCTAAAATAAAAAATTTAACACAAATTGATTAAAAAGACCGTGCAACGTTGTTCCACCATTAAAAAAAAATTGATGATGTTCCGAGAATCTTTACCTAGAATGAATGAATTATGAATGAATTATGCACACAAAAAAAAAATTCTGTCAAAAAATTGTAACATAATCATTCCCGGGACTATTACTTATTTATAAAATTGATTTTTTTTTTCCCCACAAAAAAGTGATTTTGATAGGTATAAAACGAAATCATCTATTTTGCCATGAGCCCATCCATGTAAATAAAGCTGTATAAAAAAAAGGTCCTTTCGGAATAAACCTAAAAGTTTTAATGTAACTATATCAGTTCATCAATTGTTTTAATTATATTAATTATGCAAAGGTTCGTCATCGTTTAATCTTCAGGTTAAAATTCTTGAAATTTTTGGTATTTGAATTCTGGTTTTTTTTTCCCCCTTTCATTCACTTATTTATTTTATAAATCATTTAACATAACACCATTAACTTACGAACAAAGAGCGACTGATTGAACAACGAAATTTTAAAGAAAGGGAAGGGCGTTTTTATTATACAAATATGTTTGAATACGATATCATGTTTTTTTATCCTCAATCGGAAAATCTAATAATGGACACTGCCCGCGCCCAAAAATCCTTTGTGTTGTTTCAAAAAGACCAACGGATTCACAGACAAAAGAACAACGTTTGTGATCAAAGGTCAATTATTGTGGTTATCTTTCCTCTAACACGTGAAGGTTTCCGCACCTCTCTCTCCTTTATATATGCACTACGATGATAAAATAGTCAGTGCCGATAGTATTGAAGAGTATCGTATTGTATAACCTTTTGAAAAGAATGAAATCATGTGTTACCACATTTCGGAATCAAGTAGGTCTCGTGGATTTTTTTCCTCTGAATAAATGTTTTCCTTATTGTTTACAAGCGTTACCTTTTGATTTATAAAAATTTTTCGGATCTCCCATTTTATTTTACCACATATTTTGAAAAACACCAAGTAAAAGAAATGTATCACTATGATCTGATCACAACTAAATTCTGTATCACTTTAAACAATACTCTATATTATATATCTTTTATTAAAGTTTATCACTTGTATCTCATTAAAAAGTTCGGGTTCGTTTATATTGTGAATATTGTGAATTTTATCCCGTACGACAAAGAAGGATTGCAAAAAAAAAAAAAAAAAAAAAAAACTAGTTTAACTTCCAGTAGGCGTTTTTTTATTTTATTTTTTTTATTAACAAGAATAATTTAAAGTTGAAAGTTTTGAGTCACAATTATAAAAACTCCACAAACCGCACCCCCGCTCATCAAAAAAAAAAAAAAAAAATAAATAAATAAATATTTAAAATTTCTCCTCTTTTTTTTTTTTTTTTTTTTTGACAATAAACAATAAAAACTGACATTTTTTGTATTCGATAAACACACTTGACAGACCATTTAGTTTTTTAATAATCGGTTTCTTTTTGTATTATATTACAACAATAAAATATTATCTTAGATTCTTAGAATTTTTATTTAAAGAACTAACTTCGAGAAAAAAAAAAAAAAAAAAATTAATAATACAAGTTTTCAACTAGAATTTTTTTTTTTAAAAAAAAAAAAAAAAAAAAAAGCCGGATAAATTGCTTTGTTTTAAACATTTTCGATAAAACAATAATACATTGTCATCAAGAGATCATTCAAAAAATTACAATGGAAAAATCAAACAGAGATAAATTCCATTCGAAAACAAATAATTTTAAGGAACAAAAGATGGAAAAGGTAAATATCTTTGTAATGTTCACTAACATATAATACATGATTTTTTTTATATAAACCTGTAATAATTTTTTATCCTTCAAAATTTCTGAATTCGAATCGACTTTATTTTTTTTTCGTTTCCTTTATCGCTTTCGATTAGCTGTCATCTTTTGAACCAGAAAAACAAAAAAGAAGTAACCGTTCTCTACATAAAAAAAAACCTGATTTGGAACGTGATAAACAAAAAGCCGAATTCGAACGTTCGGAGGTAAAATTCCTCGGCCTTTTCACCCCCAAACTTAACTTTCTTACTTTGGTTTCCTTTATAATTTATTTTTTATTATTATTTTTTTTTTTTTTTGATAAAATAGAAAGAATTGAAAAAACTTTTGGTACAATTTGGATCAAAAGCTCGAGTATCTGACGATATAGATCGGGACACTTCGAAAGTTCGCGATAATATTTTTAAATTAATGGAAAAGACAAAGGCAAAATCACTTAACGTCAACGCAAAGGTAATTATTCATTAACTTTTTTTTTTTTTTTCAAAATAAAAAAATAAGAATTTTTTCGTTAATGTAGTCGATGCAAGATGATGCGTCACAACAACAACAGCAACAGCAGCAGCAGCAGCAGCAGACAGAAACCACCACATTCAAAACATTACTAGCAATTTTATTTTCAATAATATGGAATAAATTAATGCTCTTGATTGAAATGATTATACAGCCTCTTCAATCATTTTACCAATCCTATGAAAAGGTATATTGTAGAATTAATTGGATTTGGTTCTTAAGCGTTATTATATTGATTGAATTATTAATACTCGGGCTCATCTTGAAGTAAGTTTTTAAAAGGGGAATTTCCTCTTTTATAATAAATAAATTTTACCGATTTTTAATTCTTCATTTGCAATTTAGAATCAAATACAGGAATTATCATTATTTAGAACCTTATGAAGCGATTGTACACGGCACATTTGGTGTAGAACCGTCTTTTTGGAGTTATATAACGGTTATTTGTGATACAGTGGTCGATTTTCTTGGTGAATTTAGACAAGGTAGTCGTAGTTTCGGTAGTCCAAGTTATGATGGTTTGGTACCAATATGATGACTTTTTTTTAAATTTTCTTATTTTTTTTAAAACTTTTTAATTTCGAGTTTTGAATTTCCACGACTTTTTGAATTTATGTAGAATTTGTTAGAAGTAGATCATGTCGTTATCTCTGAGTTCCTATTCTTCCTTGTTTTTCTTTTTCTCTTGTACTTTTTTTCTCCCCCCCCCTTTTTTTGTCATTGTATATATTTCAGTTCTAAATTCCTTGCATGTACTTTATTTTAGTTTTGATTTTCTAATCTTTTTAAAAAAAAAAAAAAAATTCCTCACCCGATCATCAATTTTACGCCTTTACTATCTTGTCTATTCCCTTCGTCACTTTCTCATCGAAAAAAATTTAGCATTTTGAAAAATAAATAAATTAATAAATTAAAAACTTTGTTAAATTACTATTTTATAAATTTGGAAAATGGAATTGATAAAATATACGTAATGAATGTAATAGTTATTTACGGGAAGCCGTGCCACGGCGGGAATTTCTAAATTTATTCTTGAATCAAATTTTTTTTTTTAAAAAAAAAAAATTTTAAAACGTAACTTTTTCGAAACATTTTAGTAGTCAAATTTTTTGAAACTAGTCAATTTTTTCTTTTTTTATTAAAAAGGAAAGCTGTTAATAATGCCTCCTTTTAAAAAAAAAGTCCGATTTGATACCGGCCTGCACTATCAACATGAATAAAATTTTCAAATGATCACTAACGTGCGAAATAATCATGTGCGGGAGTTTATAAATTTGTGCGCGCTCAAAGGATAATTTAGAATTTATAAATATTAATTAAAGAACTATTGCGATAGGTGTTACTTTCCGCATTTATATAACATTTCCGGGTTTTTGATAAGCGAAAAAAAATTAGTAGCCGGAATTTATTTGCCGGGTATTTATTATTAGGGTTAGTATTAGAGTTAGAGTTTGGATTAGGATTAGGATTAGGATTAGGGTAGAATTAAGAGGTTAGCAAATTTGTCACATCGTGTCACATCCCTGCCGTTCTTCAATTTACTAAGTATTCTGAAATTTTTTTGTGAGAAAAATGCTAATTGTCACAATTATATGTCACCCCTAATAAGTATATGTGATCCGGCAAATAAAATCCGGCTACCATTTTTACGGGTGACGCTAGGGCTGTTCGTGAAGTGGCATTATTCTGCTCCTAGTCATGTGTTTCAAGTTTCAAGAAGAGGTAGTATATGAAATTATGGTTTATTAATGCTTTTGTTTTTTACGTCCCAATGATCTATCAATTATTTTACGTCTTTGCATTGTACGTAAGTAAGCCTGGCAATCCTCTTACAATTTACAACATACAAAAGTAATACACGTGTGGAAAAGAAAGAAAATAGTCGTTATATTTAAAATAAATATTTTATTTTTAGTCCAAAGCGTTCGTGAAGGGATTATAATGAGGCTTCGTCAATAGAAACACATCTTATAACATAATAAATTATTAAGTAAGATGGTGTGTTTCTATTGACGAAGCCCCATATATTGTCTATGCTGAGCGACACAAAAATGTCACCGCTTAATTAAAGATTAATTTAGTAACTCTTCTATTTTACAAAATGAAATCAGCTTATTCCTGATGTATTTTTTCGCGTTTTTCCCATTCTTCCTGCTCGCACTTTCTGAATCTGCTATACTGTTATTCGTAGCAGTATTGTAAAACTTTCTATTTGGCGGTAGGTCATCAATCCCCGTGTGATTTCTTTATTGATCTTCTCTCTTTCCATGTATACGTCTTCGTAATTTCCACCTGATGTTAAAACAGAAAAAAAATTAATGTTTCACGTTTCTATTTGAAATAGATTATTTAATAAACTACTTACCGAGACATTCAACGACCTCACATACTCCACCGAGATTTCCCCTGCTCCTTAACGGGTGTAGGTTAAGATCCTTCGTGACATATTTTTTTTTATCAGTATTTTCAAGGACTTGGCCATTTCGTGAAGGTTGCGCTGAGGTAGTCACAATATCATGCGCTATTTTGTGCCGAACTTCATATAATTGAAAAAGTTCGACGGGAATTGCATCGTTCTTACCGAGGTATGCAGATTTCTTCGTAAAATTATCTCTGTTTCTCAATAATGAAATTTAGCATGCAAAGAGTATTTGCATTTCCGAAGTCTGTGTTCATTGTCTTCGGTAAAGGCTTCCACAGTCTTGGCGGGGTGATGCTCTCGTTGTCAACAAGGAACATGTAAAGTTCAATTTCGATTATGTTATAGAAAGTCTTTACAACTCCTTGTTCATAAATTGAGAAAGAAAATTCTTTTTGCACTGGCGGAGGAGTTTCTCTATTTGTAATTGAGTATCGTCCAACATCATACCTTGTTTTACTTAATTTTGCTGTTTCAAACAATGAATTTAACCAACTATATAATTTCATATTGGTCGCGGATTTCTCGCGGAATGCTTGATCTTTGTTTAACACCTCGCGAAGCGAATTACGTAGAGATTTTTTATTTATATTTATCGGACAAGCACTATGTAGCACGCCTAGAGTAGATCGGAAAGTCCAGCGAAATTGACCTTTTAGAATATTGTGCCAAAAATAGAAATATTTCTGTTCACCGAACCCAAATTCAACATCAACATTCACGTGTAATAAATCTATATGTAAAAAACTTAAAATATACAGTATATCTAATTTTCTTTTATTTTGTTTTCTTCGATTTCCATCAGCTTGGTGCTGATCTTCTTCTAATAATAAAGATTTGGGAACGGGTAATCCTTTTGTTTTATATTTTTTATTAAGCCATAATTTGGCTTGATAAAAGATGTGCAGTCTTGCGACTAGATGTGGATGAAGAGCCTTTAGATTTATAAACGGCTCTTCTTGCATCGTATTAAAAATAATGTCCGCGGGGTCAAAGGCTAGATCCTCTGCTGAAGTGATTTCTAGGCTTTGAAGATTGTTGTTGTTCGAAGAAGATCTTTTTTCTGGTATTGAACGAGAATCAAACACTGAGATCAATACAAAGTACTTACTAGGAAGTATTTTGTATTTTCGGTGGAAGATTCCAGACTAAACCTGAATCACTAATAACTCTAATAGAGAGTTGATCCTCCAGGAAAGACTAGAAGCGGTAGTCGTAGTATTAATTCATTAGAAAGTGCTTCCAAATGATTACTGAAAGCTTTTCTGTTTTCTTCTGAAGTGCATTCTTTGTCACCTTTTCCTCAGGAAAAAGCTCCTCCCTAACTTCATAATTGACCATCTTGAGGAAGTCACAACCAACAATTTTCGTTTCTTGTGTTTCTCTCTCTCTGTATACATAATATATAAATTAATAATATGAACAACATAGTTAATATTAATTCGGTTTATATTTTTAATTTCATGACTTCTATTCCGGGTTTCTTTATTTGAATGGTTTTTGTTTAGGCTCGGATAATAGTAACGTTCTGATGCTAGAGAAAAGGAATTTTATTTTTTTTTGCCGACATGAAAATTGCGCTGACCTGGTAATTACTTCAAGCCCGAGTCCAAGAGACCCTGATGCAGGTCTTACGAACGAATCAAATCGTTTCAGTTCGTTAAGAGACTGTGGACAAGCGGTTGCTTACTGAACAGAATGTCAATCTGTCACTCAAAAAAGGGTTGACTTTATTAATTGATTCCTCCTCTAGAATAAGTAGACATATTCAACGAAGCTTGACAGAAAGAGTCGCGTTTTTCAGAGTATGCATCACGCGTCACTTATAAACATTATATCATGTGATCTATGTGACGTATACTTCTGAATGTTATAATAAACCAATCAATAACGATAATATTTATGTGAAATCGGTGAACAGTTACACACACCAACCCGCATAAAGCATACACATTGGCTTTCTTGCAAAAACACGAATGTCATGGGTAATGTGTAAAATAGCAAATAGAAATTATACAAAGTATTAGTATATAATGTTATGTATAATGACATTTTTCTATAACTCGCTTACTCAATATATCTAATGAACACATAAAACGTTACTTTGACTTCCAACATCACCTGGTGTTATTATTCTTTAAATAATTTTATCATTTTGTACTCGTGTTCATCACGTGCTTGCTGCGCCAAATATCTGGCCTGAAATCTTTATTCTTAGTTAAATTTCAAAAGATGATAACATTATGAAACTACGTATAAACCATAAGAAATTATATATGTGAGGTGCTATGACGTTTTGCCGGGTGGTGATCGTCATTGTTAAAAGAACTTCCAAACCAATGTTTATTTACTATATGAGGATATGAATCAATAACATTTTGTCCTAATTTGGAAGGTTGACAGATGATACGTAAGTTTGTTCTAAAATATTCCATCGTTGCATATATAAAAATGTGTCCCAACGTGAGAACATTTCTTTCTTTTCTTTTACTTTTCTTAAAAGAAAACTAACAAAAAACAGTTCTGCCAAAATACTATTTCGCTAATTTTAGCTTCCGAAGGAAAGCAATAAAAGTCTTTATTAACTTTAAGAATAATTTTTCCGATAACGCTACGCTTCTTACAAACGAAACGGAAGGACTTCTTCGATAACGCTAACGCTACCGACAACGAAACGAAGGACTTTTTGCGTCAAGATTCAAAATTTAAGGTAGATGCGAGAAAAGTCCATTATTGATACGGGTAGAACTGTTAATGGGAGAAGTGTTGTATAGTCATTTTAATATATCAAAGCAAGTTAATCTTTTAAATAGCGTTGGCTTTGATAAAAATAACACGATGCAGAGTAATTTATTACAAATCGTCCCTTTATTATTGACTATATAATAACCTCTTAACCCCTCGCTGATGTGCTGCTGATGTACTTTGGCGGCGCTCACTGTGTAATATTTTAAAAATCCAGAACCTAAATTAGTGGTCCCATTGGTACTGGCTGTTCTTCCTTAGGGGGTAGTTAACCACGGAAGTTACTCATGTGCGCCCTTTATTTTTTTTTTTATTTAAACATAGAAACGAACGATTCCGAAAATATTCCGAAAACGATAACGCTACTGACAAACGAAACGAAAGACTTTCGCGCAAAGATTCAATTTAAGAAAAAACCAAAAAATTTCTTTAATTTTTATTGTAAAACTTTTATTTTTTAAAAAAAATCTTTAGATGGTCGTACATTTTAATAAATAATTAACTTATACGTTAAATACATCTATTCAATCCATAAAAAAAAATTATGGTAATTAATTAAAAATTCTCTTTGAAAAAAAAAAAAAAATGTAATAAAAAAAAAATCCAAAAGATTTACAATAAGAATCCGGAGAGAAAATTCACTCCTAAAAAGCATTATTATCATAAAAGTTGTTTGACTAGGCCCATTCGATTGTAAATTCACGATGTCTCATGCCCATCAAGACACCAGATTCCGTCCAGCTAGTAATTTCCAGTTAATGAATGATATCGGGTAGTTTTGATACCTTTTGGAACATTAAGATAACAACCCTTATCCGGTATCCCGTGTGTTTTTATAATTAAAAATCATTATCAGTATATTAAACATTATTTGTATTAATAAAATTACATTTAAAACTAATTAATTATATATAGTACAATTTGTATAATAAGTTTTATTTA